TTCTCTCTCTCTCTCTCTCTCTCTCTCTCTCTCTCTCTCTCTCTCTCTCTCTCTCTCTCTCTCTGTGTGTGTGTGTGTGTGTGTGTGTGTGTGTGTGTGTGCCTCATCCTCAGCTCCATCCACCTTTGCTGACGCTGCTGTAGTTGTTTTTGCACTGGGTCCCTCATTGGCCTGGGACTCACTAAGTAGACTAGGCTGGGAGGCCATGAGCCCCAGAGTCCGCCTGCCTCCACCTCCCTGGCCCTGGGACTACAAGCAGGCACCAGAGCTCCTGAGGATCAACCTCAGGTCCTCAAGCTGGTATGACAAGCACTTTACCAACTGAGCCACTTCTCCAGCCCCGTCCCTGGCTTAGAGCCCATGACAGCGTCCCTAACAACAAAAGCAAAGTGTGATAAAGGATTCTAGGTCCCAGAATAGGAGACAAGTGCTGAGTTAACAGCCCTCCTTGTCTCTCGGACACTCTGGAGATGGATGTCAGCCATATTCTCTCCCACCCCGACCCTAAAATTCACAGATAAGGGGAACTTACCTTGTAATCAAGATGAACACAGAAGTGACACCATCCCTATCAGTCAAGCCCCAGAAATAATAATAAAAAAAAAACACTAAATAAAGCTCACCCCACTCCACAGAAACAGGGCTCTGGAGGCTGGGGTGCTCCACCAGGCAGCTGTAGACGTCACCAAGCTCCGGGGTCATTTCCAGCGTCACTGTCTTCTGGAAGGTCCAGTCTCCGTTCCTAACAAGGCCAGTGGACATGACCCCAGACCTCTGCTCCTGTCCGTTCCGAAACCACCTAACATTTATGTCCCCGGGATAGAAGCCTGTCACAGAGCAGAGCAGCAGTTTGTGTTGCTGCAGCAGCGGGGTCCTCTCTGGGCTCACTGTCACCTCCGGAGGCACTAGCAGGAGAGAAGAAAGGGCTCACAAGGACAAGGCACTGTGATCACACTTGATCCATGTTCCAGGTGAGCTAAGTAGAAGCTGGAAGTGCAAGAAAGTTGACGAGATGGCTCAGCAAATAAGGGTGCCAGCCATTAAGGATGAGGACCCAAGTCCAGTCTCTAGGACCCACACAATGGAAGGAGAGAACAAACTGCCTCAAGATGTCCCCTGACTGCCACGTGTGCACTGTGGCATGCATGGAACACACACACATACACACACACACATACACACACACATACACACACACACACAAACAAACAAACTATAAATAAATAAATGTAAGTTTAAGTGCCTCTCATAAGAAAGATTCCCATGGAGTCCCCCGCTAGCCCTCACTCACCATTCCTCCCCACGGTGAAGGGGGCCCCCAGCTTGTAGTTCTGCCTGCAGACCATGTTCACAGACGCTCTGCTCTGCTCCACGAGGTCCCAGCGTTTGTTCCACTGCTCAGCATCAGGCTCCCCCAGCTCTGTCAGCGCCACAAACATCCCCAGGTCACTGTCGAAATGTAAATACTCCTCCAGGTTGAAGATGAACCTGACCACGAAGCGCACCTGGTCTGTCCCGTTGGTGAAGTAACAGTCCGCCTTCGCCTGAATCACAAAATCCTCTGGAAACCACAGAAGGGTTAGGAACCAGCTGTGGCTCCGGGAAAGCCCTGCCTGCTGCACCAGCTCAGCTCCGGGAAAGTCTGTACCTGCTACACTAGTGCAGCTCTGAGAAAGTCTGTACCTGCTACACCAGTGCAGCTC